TCAGCACATTTAGCGATAAAAGGGGGGGCACGCCATCGGTCCCGGCACCTTTGTGTAGGTTGACTGTTTTGAGTTCTTTAAGTATTATATGTTTATCTAAGTTAATAGAACTAATATTAGCTGAAGTATATTCACTATGGTCAGTATCATACAAGTTACGATTGTTTAAATTATTTGCAGGGACAAAAACAGACTGGAAATACTCATTAAAAGCAGTACAAATATCTGTACCGGTCCTAAGAGGAGTACCATCATGATACATAATGTGCGGAATATCTCCTAGTTGCCTTTTAGACTTCACGTAAGACCAAAAGGAATTCGGGTGTTTGCGAATACGATCTTCGGAGAAAGACACATATTTTTCAAACCTTTCGCGTTCTAACTTACGGAGTATTTTTCTTAACAAAGAAAATGCATCGTAATCTATTCTGTTACCATAGCTTTTCCATTTCTTATGATGCTTTCTTTTCTCATTATTTAATTTAACTAAAGCTTTCGTGTACCAGGGCGGATATTTATTATTAACGATATAAGACATAGTGGTAGGCACGTATTTGTCTATTAGTGAGGATAGAACATTATAAAAATATGTAACTACAGAGTCAACGTCATTCAGCAAAGAAAAAGCAGATCCCCAATGAATTTAGTTGAGTTCCTTATTAATGGAGTCAAAGTCCGATTTATAACATAATTTTTTTGGAACGCGCTTCCTCTCAAGAACCACAGGTGTGCTAGTCCTTAAGCAAATATTCAGAGCTTTGTGGTGCAAATCTTCCGCAACTAAAGGATTATGGGGTGAAGTGACCGTACACAATTCGCTACAGAAAACCAAATCTAAAAGTCTATTGTTTAAGTTTTGTTGATGGTTAAGTTGGTATAGCAAAGAAATGTTCATAAAATCACAGGTAACAGCAGTAAGTACATTGTTATCTCTTTGTAAAATCATGCTACACGTGTCGTTGTCAAAATACCAATTGGCGTTAGTTAAATTGAAGAAAGAAAGACGTTATTAGGATGTGAATGAGTTAAATTAATTACCCGGTCGTAGAATGATTCTATCTGAGCGGCGTGTTGCGGTCCGTGAGGAATATATGTACACACTATGTATAAGTACACTGAGTCACAGGGCGCGGCGGCGGCGCTATGCCGGCGCGGCCGCGCCGCGGCACGCTCAGCCACAGCTCGGCGGCGAGCGATGCTGGCGCCGGAACACACCAGGCTCGACGTTCAAAAGCACACAGCTCGCGGCGAACCGCCACGGCCACGCCGCCACCGCGCGAACAACCGCTAGCAGTGGGATCGCGGTCACATCGATACACCTCATAACGCGAGTCAAAGTATTCGGAACTATAAAATGATTCATTTAACCAGGTTTCGGTTATACAGATTATGTCATATTCATTGTTTAAAACCTCAGAAAAAAAGGTATGCGACTTAGTGCGCAAGCCCCTCACGTTCTGGTAGTAAATAGAAATTAAATTGTTAGCAGGCATCATTTAATACGCTAAGTCTAGTATACACGCATGAACATATACACCACTGTCCCCGAGTGATACATACACATACCTGGGTATGTAAGATACCGACAAGATTACTATTAATTTCTAACACGAATGCATTAAATATTGAAAGTATGTAAATTATTATTGATACTAATCCCTCAACACAAATAAAAAAAATTATGTTATGGACACCCTCATTATAACAATATAACTTAATTGTAGGGTTACACAATAATATGTTGAGTGTATTATGAATTGAGAAATTAAATTGAGATTGCAACAGAGTTAATGAAAGAGACATATGTAAACACAAGTGACACAACTGGTAATACCACCATGCATAGTGCATCAAGCAACCCGGAAACTATAAATGCAATTATATACAGCAGACACCGTCACTTTATTTTGGCAAGATCCTCTTCAGTGGCGATCAGCATGGGCTTTGATGAGTCATTCTTTCTTAGGAATATTTTACAATCTTTCACCCATATATATGTATAGCCGCGTTCCAAGCCTAATTTGCGAGTCTTGCTGTACAGCACTTTATTATGCGGGGCCAGATGTTCGTTCAGATAAATAGGTCTTGCTGCGCCATCCAGGTTTATATCAGCAGTTGTAAGGCCGCGTCTAGCCTTCACCGCTGAAAACAAATCCATTTTTTTTTACGGTGGGTAAATTTTACAACAATATTAGGTATCTGGTGCTGGTTCTCTGCTGATTTTTGTTGCGATGGGAAACGTCTAACTCTGTGTATATGATCAACATCATCTGGTGACAAAGAAGTACCCACTTTTGTCGCGATATTGTGCAATATAGTAATTAAATTTTCTGACTTTATTTGCGGAATACCAATTATCTCAAGATTGTTCATCCTACATTGTTGTTCCTTAACCAATAATTGTTTGGAGATATCAGCAATCCTCTCTTCCGTCTCCTTCAAGGTGTTTTCTACTTGTGATGTCTGGGCTTTCAGTTGCAAATTATCATTTTTAAGTTCGCTGAGGTAATTTTGTATTTGTTTGGACTCATCGCTCAGTTTGTGACTTGTATGTTGCAATTCGGCAATCTGAAACACTCGGTTAAGCCAATAGATAAATGTTTGATAGACTCATTCTGCTTAGCCAACATATCTTCAAACATTGTTGTTAATTCTTCTCGAAATCTTGACAAGGACGCATTTATATCTAAAACTATTCTACCGAGAGACTTATTTATCTCATCTTTAAACTCCACTAACTCATAAGGGTTTTTCCGCTTTCTAATGACCACTCGGTTGACTGTCTCATCCTCTTCGAACTCCGAAAGATTAGGTTGAGACCCCGTTAGAGAGTTAGAGGCAGTATGTTGCGCGCTCATTGTCAGTTTGTATGTTAATATTCTATAAAATACTTAACAAAATATGATGTCTTAAGACAGACACAGATCCATACAACTTTAAGCAACACGTCGGTAGTTCTACGTTGCACACGAGACAAGGCATCCAAACTATAATTGGACTCTTTCACTGTCACTGAACAAGCGTTCTTATCACAATGCACTATGTATGACTTTTGATTAATAATCGTAACACTGTTTTTAGTTTGACTAACACAGGTCCGTCCGCCAACACGATTTGACATTGAATGAATGAACAAAGTAATTATCACTTAATATTAATGTGCTTACATAATATGTAAGAGACACTAAAACCAGGTTAATTTTTTATATAAATGTAAATGTATAATTTGTTATTATTGTACGTACGAATAAAATATTGTGTAAGTGTAAAAGTAGTGAATCCTCGATATACACACTGTGACTGAAATCATCTTCAATGATATAATTAAAACTTTTAAAAGTTTATTTAATGCATTGTAACACTGCACTATATAAACCAAAAACTAAGTCCTTGGTTTGTGGACCCTTTTTTTTTTTTTTTTTTTTTGACGTGTGGAAATCCCCTCGGACCGTCACCCCACCGGGGTTTGCGGCAGGGTGGTGTGTCGGACTCGGACCGAAACCACACGGTGTGCCACTCTGCGCCTGTAACAGGAGGGATCCGGGAACAGCTGTTATTAAGACATCCGGACCCCTCCTAGCGCCAGCCCGCTCCTGGTGCGGGCTCCGTCTCAAAATTTTTCCTCTCTTTAGACGACGTCCGGCACACGCGGACGCCGCCCCCTCGCGGCTGGCCAAACTAATGCGGGTGGAGGGGAAACCCACCCCGTCCACCCGCGGCCACACTCAGGGCGGTGATAGGCGCGCCTCCGCCGCCCGGTTCGCCGGCGGCGGATCGGGTCCAAGTGGAGGTCGTCCTCCCTCTGCCTCTCTCCTCTCGTCTCTCCTCTGCGAGATTACTTACTCGCAGAAGGTTGCGACCGCGGTAAAACAACTGTCGCTACCGGCCATGGAGCGTACTACGGCCGGTAGCGAGAGATCCACTCCGATGACTGCAGTGAGGGCCCGGCGCTGCGTCGCCCATGCGGGGCAGACCGCCAGCGTGTGCTGGGCCGAGTCCTCACTGCAGTCGCAGTGGTGGCAGGCGGGACTCAGTTCCCTCCTAGCGACCGAGTGCAGGTACTTTCCGAAGCAACCGTGCCCGGAAAGCACCTGCGTCAGCCGGAAGGTAAGGGTCCCGTGCTGCCCCCCTGCCCACTCGGCGATGACCGGCTGGAGAGCCTCCACGGCGTCGAAGCCAGCGCGTAGAGTCTCCAGCCGGAACGACCAACGAGCCATCGTGGCTCGGCGAGCGGCTTCGCGCCACTCGCGCACGTCTTCGGGCGGAGGGCGAAATCCGCTCTCCGCCCGGGAGTCAGCCACTCGCCTATAAACTTCGGCGAGCACTTCCGCCTCCAAATCCCACGGGGGAGTTCCGGCCAACGCGCACGCCACCTCCGTGACACGGTGCGATAACTGCGTATGGCTCTGACCGCCATTACCCTCTGAGGGCGCCAGAGGCGTGCCCTATTCTGGGCGGTCAGAGCCGCCGCCCACACCGGTGCACCGTATAGTGCCATTGACCGGACAACCCCCGTGTACAGCCGTCTTGTCGCGACGCTGGGTCCACCCAAATTGGGCAAAAGTCGCCCTAGGGCAGACGCAGCGCCGACCAGCTTTGGAGCTAGCTGTCGGTTGGTTTGTGGACCCCAGTCAACCCCAACCTAGTTTGGGAAAAGGCTCGTAGAATGATGGCATACTATATAACAGTTTATTAAAAATATATTTTATAGTGATGGTATCTGACATTATCGTTAAATCAATAACAATGTTATAAAAGTGACTTGGCTTCTTTTCTACCAAGTGACTCTATTGGAAATCTTGCGAGGAAAAACTTTCTTTCTTTTCTTCTTGATTCACTACTATATATATTTCTCTTATATTGTCATTATAGTAAAATAGTCCGTTAGTAAGCTCTAGCGTCAATACACTCAATTGTTATAAGATGTAGACTTGAAGGTGCCGTATCAAAGGTTAAATATTGTTTAAAACCTAAAAACAATAATTATTATAATAGCTTACCTTATTGTATAATATATCAGAAAACTCCTGGACAGAGATTGACTTCGGAAAGAGACCGGACATTCCGGATACAACAATTCTCTCACCATCGTTATTCGGCGGCAGCTGAAATTCGCTTTGCCCGTGTTTCTGTCGTTCAGGTACCATTGTTAAGAAACACCCTAAGAAACAAATTAAATGGAGTGAATTAATAAACGAAAAATAACACACTGACTTAAACTTAAAGACATTACTGTCTTAAATAGTATATTGTACTGTCTTGAAAGTAATTACGTATAGCACGAGTACAGTAGTAAATAGGTGTATAGTCGCAAAATGTTATTTTGTTTGAAGTTATGCAGTGCCGATTAATGGAACTAATCCCTCCCACACGCCCACCACTGTAACTCCTGTACACCAGGATCAACAGCAGTGACCAACGAACACACCGAGTTATGACGCTCGGGAAGCCCAAGGATAATGTTAAAATGTCTCGGAACCCGCAACGAAATGAATCAGAAGAAAATTGGAGGAGTGGGAAATATAATAAATCCGCTTCCCTCCTTAGCAAAGCGGGATACAAAATGAAGTGAAATAGGCAAACACCCTTTTAAACAGGGAAGCACCAAGGCCACAAAATATTATGGGTCCTAAGTGAGCTATATTTTCTTATATTTTTTTAACTACTTTATTTGCTTTTGATATTACACTAATGTCTTGCACTGATATCATACGTGTTATCATTATATTTATTATTTGACTTCCTTTAATGACCAACAGCCTTTAGTAGTCCATTGCTGGATATAGGCCTCTCCTTAGAAAGGAGGATCCCGGGGAAGCTGCTGGCCTCCCTCACCTATCAGCCCAATTATTAAAATATGTTGCGGCCCGATCGCAGTTTTCCTACCGCAGCAGTTAATCTGCCACCAGAGGTCCCCATTCTCTGGCAGCCTGCGGCCCCGTCGACGGCTGGTATCGCCGCCGACGTCCTCTACGCTCGGGATCAGCCACGATCGACGGATTGGTATACAGTTTGTTTGTTTCACGTTTTCGTTGTCTTTGCAGTGCTGTTATACTGCGTAGTTTGCTCTTACCATACCCACGGGATGAATAGGGGTATTCTCAATCCGCCACCACACCGATATATTTTTATTTTACACGGATAATTTTTGTTTATTCGACTTATTTTAATAAGACTGCATAATGCAATTTCTTAGCACAATGGTAAAAGCAGAAGGATTTTTTTTGTTTGGAATCAGGCTGCCGTGTGTGAGATGCCTGAAGTCATTATTATTTAAAAAAATGTAGGACTAAAATGAAAAAATAATGTATATTTTCCGTCAGGTCAAATTCCACAAGATTATTCTATCATCTCTCTATCATCTACAGTTCTATAGAAACTTGTATAGAATAACCGCTTGTGACTAAATATCGCCAAGTCGTTCACTAAATATTTTTTTTTTAAATTAAATAAAACATATTGGCTGGTTTTTTTTTTAATTTTATAATAACTTTTGTTTTGAAAGTTGTCTATTTTACTATACTACCATAGCAACCGCCGATTCTTCTTACAACATGTTTCTTTCCACGTGGAATTCAACTTGACTTTTTACAGCTAAGTTTATGTGAAAAACATAGTAATGAGAATATCTCTGTGAAATAATTAAAAGCATCATTGGGATCAGACGCTGCGCAGACTTCAGCAACGATCAAGCTTCTTATACGCATGATAAATTTATATTCCATTCTTTCAATTTTATTCACCGTTCTTACACATTACATATATTTCTAAAAAAACATACCTAAATATTTCTAAATTCATACATAATATAGATGAATTACACCCAGAACAAATGATCATGCTCGCACTAACAGCCTTTAGTAGCTCACTGCTGGACATAGGCCTCTCCTTAGAAAGGATTTTTTAGCCTACAGGGTATACCACGCGTGCCAGACGGATTGGTACAGGGTTTGTTTCCAGTTTTCCTTTTCTTTGCAGTGCTGTTGTAATGCGTGGTTTGCTCCCTTAGTGCCGACTAAGAGACCAAAGCTGTCATGTATTCGATTATTCTGTCTTTTTTATACCACGGATCAAAAACATGAGAGTATTAATAATTAGGTTATTAATACTCTTATGTTTTTGAAATGATGAATGCAATAAGATTTCTAATTAGTTATTTGAAATATATATTTATAAATAGAAATATAAGTACCTAATAGACGTACCTTTGCAGCTTTTCAAATAAAAATAGATCAAATCGATTAAGAATGAATCACCTTTGTTGAACACTGTTTTATGTTTAATTCAATTTAAATAAATAAACCATAAACTTTATATTATTGTTATACTTAAATTCCCTACACCATCAGCACAATACGTGTTTATTTACACGTCCCCAGTTATATATAGTGCTTTTTCGACAAGAAATCAGCATATAATCATACAACATTCGAATAAATGTATATTAACGTGCTTCATAATGTATTAAACCAAAATAAAGCCAATTAACATATATTATTTCTACAAAAACATTAAAGTGACGTATTAATGATACCGATAAATAATTCATGTGATATATTTTTTGTGAACTACCCACATGTTGACATTCAACCGTGATAATGGTTAGTTTTACGCGATCTTCAAGTATGAGAAATTGTGATACGATAGTTTCACGTGAAGATAAAGAAAGTATGCAACAGGATGAGCAAGTGTTAAATGAGGCCCAAAAGGGCCGGACCCTAGAAAAGATTGAGGGAGAATAGTGAAGAAAATGACAGAGAAGAGGATTGTGACGGCTTTGTTACTGTCACTAGAAAATCAAAACGGCTGTTACGTAGTTATTCCGGTAACAGTAACCAGAGCAGTGAGGCAATGGAAAGAGGTTATGAGAATTTGGAGGAGTTCGCAATAAGGTTAACTTCTAAACATATTTTGCCTAAGCAGTTTGACAAGGCAAAACTATTAACTATTATAAACGTTTTGTAAATTCAATTAAGGGGCTAAAATAAGTTAACATTATTTTCAAGAGCAAACAAGATGCGGAGAAACTCTTAAAATGTCAGAAATTTAAGGAATTGGAGTATGTGTGTCAAAGTATCGACGAGGTGAACCTATCGTATGGTGTTTTTAAAGATGTTTGGATGTTGAAGAAAAGGAAATATTCCAGCAATTCAGTTGTGAACATGAAATTGTTAGTAAGAGGAGACTCAAACATCTAAATTCTGACGTAACGTGGAAAGACAGTACTGTTTACCGATTAGCCTTCAAAAACTGCATAAGGATTTATATTACGTATTTGCCACAACTTCTTTGCTTTCATTTTCTGATACCTATGTACTTTCGTTTGAGTTTTACTACGTTTTACACATAATACACTAAACATTAACACATAGATAATATATTATTATTTATTTACAATATTTACACTTAAAATATTATTTATAAACTATATACATCATTAATACACACGTTTATACTATAAGTACATCATAAATAAATATTACATTTCACAGCGATACATATCGGTTTGTCGATATGTTTGCCGATAAATTCTATCGACACATCCCTTTCACTATGCTATCTTAATGTATAGCTAGATGAGATACGCGCCGGCAACCATTGCGCGTGCGCCGTCTCGGACACTCTGAATCAGGGTCTGTCAACTTTGTTCTTAAAACAAGATGTAGGTGGACTTGAAAACAAGAAAGAGACAACAACATAAGAGTAAAAGAGATGAATTATAAAATGTTGCCACCAAAAATACAATTTCGTGTTCTCCAAAACAATGAGCTAAAAATCAATGTATACATTGATTTTGTAATAAAATACAAAGAAAGTCACCCTTAAAAATACATTTTGTGATTATTCTGATACCCAAAAAAATTATTTTGCTAAGAAATATAACATATTTAATTGATTAATACACAAAAACAAAAAAAAGATAAGGAGGAAAATGTGTGGCAACTACTGGCAACAATGTCCGCACACGTTTGACGTCACAAGAAAAATGTCTGCCTGCGTTCCCGCACCATTTTATCTTGTACCTATGTTTATTTGTAATAAATAAACTAGTTCCATTTAATTCTACATACATTGTTACCGTGAGTCGCAGAAAGAAAACACTAGAATCTGTTGCATGTGTGGATCTTCACCTTCTAAAGATTCCAGCATCACTTTGCATCGGTTTCCTAAGCCTGGCTCAAAAAATGCTCTGCGGTATGTACCTACCTAAGTACTTTCCATGCTATTCGTTTTAGACGACATACAATACCATATTTTTTGTTTATGCAGCTTCTAACGACCACAAACTAACGTAAAATATAATGTATGTATATGTCGTGGCCATATCGTAGAATAATTGATCATTTCATGATGTGGTTGACCATTTGATGAAGTGATCAATTCTGCGATATGGCTATGACATACATGGTAGTCCGTTTTGCAAAGTGAATCGGAGAAAAAACGGTCGAATGAAAGCGTTTCTTACGAACGCTGCCTTAACTATGAAAGATATATTTTTGATATATCTAATGTATTTGATACCCTTTGATAAAGTCCCATATTTCGTTACCAAAAATTATTAGGTACTTAACTATTCTTGCTTTCACCATTTCCATATTTAATACTACATCCTTTAAATCTCTTTCAATCAAAGGAAATACAGAAAGTTTAGATTGTTATTTAGATAAAACTTAATTAAAAATATGATTATTAAGGTATTTCAATTTAATATTTTTTAATTTCCAGGTGTGAATTATGGGCAAAGTATTGCTTTCCAAACAAAGCCTGGTCTTAACCAAAATTCCAGGATGAACTCCATTCAAAACATAAGATGCTTTGCAGCAAACATTTTGAAAGCACATGCTTTATTGAGAAGAAGTTGTTCAGAACACCTGTACCTGGTGTTCAAATTTTGTGATTATTATCATTAACTACATTAATTTCATTACATACAAAATTATCATTACATACACGCCATGTCAGAGGCCTGTGGGATTCCCAGAGGCGACTTAATAAGCTCTGACACCAGAGGGTGGCCACAACACACGCAAAAAAATTACATACACATACTTGTGAACACCTTTTGTCCCAAATGAATATATAATCCAAAAACACATTTATTCATGTAAAATTAGTATATAGTTGCTTATAATATGAATATCTGATAAATTATAGTTAATATTATGCTAAATAAAAAAGTCAAATACTAATGTTTCTTTTATTACACTGTTCCATAAATATTGCTTTCAGCATTTTATGCACAAGTACAGTGTGTTTCTCGATAGTGATGTCGTTTAGATGTCAATTGTTATTGCTGAGCAATAATTGACCATCTTGAAGAACACTATCGAGAAACGCACTGTACTTGTGCATAAAATGCAATACAAAGTATCTATAAACCCACAATTTTGAAATTCCCGCCCTAGCTTCTACTGTCTAGTTTTGGTGGGCGGAGCATAGATGGCGCCGGCCGGTAAGGAAAAATTTCCTCATAAAAATAGTATGGAGTCGTTATTCTTCCCCTTTAGGGGTATATATGTTCTGTGCTCTGAATTCAGTATCGTCGCAGACCGCACGCTTGCTTACCTAAGCCCTTTGTACCGCCTAAATATTGTTAACGTAGTGCTTATATACTATTTATATACTGCTTAAATATCCAGTGATCTCTTGTGCTATTCTTGAACTAGCTATCTTCCTGTTTAAATTGTTAATTGTGCTGTGCTTCTGCCTGTATCTTCTACCTACTGTACCTTCTGTTTATTTCTCGTGTGCTGGACAAATACATTGTGATAACAGTGAGTTGAACTCTTTTATTTACTTCACATACACGAGACAAATATTTACTACCCTAGTAACCTACACCTACGAAGATTGAGTATGGTGCGTGTACACAAAAATGAAGTTGCTACAACTGCAGTTGTAGTGGAGATTGCTCTAAAAGTTGTTGTAATCGACCAGGGTTTTCCAGTCAACGGCACTATAATAATGAGGGTGCTGGCGGATCTCTGTCACGGGATTTAGAGGCAGAAACGAGTGGCTAAAGACCACTTGCCGAGCCACGATGACTTGTTAGTCGTTCCGTGAAGGCGGTCCAACCGGTCATCGTCTAGTGGGCAGCACGGGACCCTTTCCATCCGAATGACGCAGATCTTTCCTGGGTACGTCAGTACCAGCAGTCCATCGCTAGGAGTGACCGTCACCACTGCAGTGCAGTTTGAACTCCGATCAGTGCACACTGGTCAACTTAGTGTTGGGATCTCATTGCAGTCATCGGAGAGGATTTCTCGCTACCAGCCATTACACGCTCCATGGTTGGCATGCCTTCCAGCGCATCATGCTGCCCTGTGTGTGGTCTCAGGTGGCGGGTTTTTCCGTGTGGCGGACGTCTTCTAGATGAGAGTTTATCGCCGAAGGTGGTGGCCACGCTTTTAAAGGGCAGGCGCTAGGAGGGGTCCGCAGCTGTTCACTACCTAAGTAGGACGTGAACCTAAGACCTCTGAGCAAGGTATGATCGAGAAGAAGAGGGTGGAGCGGGACCACCCGCGTCTGCGATGCGGCGATGCCTAGGGCTCAGCCAGGTCTACTGGTGGTCGCCGGAGATCGCACGGCTGCGTCAAGCCTGCGTGACCGCGCGCCGCCAGTGGTCCAGGATCCGCAGGAGGCTGCGCCGCCCCGAAGATGCGGCAGCGAGAGAGGTGGATCTGTTAGCGGGGTACAGGGTTGCCAAAAGAACCCTTCAGGCAGCGATAAAGCGGGCCAAGAGCGAGGCCCGCCGCGAGATGCTGGAGACACTGGAGCGGGATCCGTAGGGACGCCCCTACCGTATGGTTAGGGGCAAGATGCGCCCATGGGCCCCGCCGCTCACCCGTTGTCTTCAACCAGAGCTGCTTGAGAGGGTCGTTGGCTCCTTGTTCCCAACGCGAGTGGTGGAGCATACTCCGCCACAGATGGCTCCGCCTCCGGCGCTTGAGGCGCCTAACGTGGATGACGACGACGTGCCTGAGGTCACTGGGGTGGAATTAAGGGTGGCGGTGTTACGGCTTAAAGCTAAAAACTGTGGGGGATCAGTGCAAGTAAAACCCAATAAACGATGATATCGAAACACATTTGATATGGATATTTTATTTTAACACCTATGACGTGTACAATTTAATAGTCAGTTGTTTTTACTTTTTGACACATATAATATAGCTTGTAGACAGGCATAGATAGTGGCTACGGAGGTGTGCAACTCCTTACGTTATCACAAAAACACCGCCCCGGGACTCGATGGCAATCCTGACCGAGCGTGGGTCCTGGCCTTAGTCGACGAGGCTCTCGAGCTCCGACTGCGAGGGTTCTCAGCGCATGCCTCGAGCGGGGCCAGTTTTCGAAATTGTGGAAGACGGGGAAACTGGTCCTCATCCGAAAGGAGGGGCGCCCGGCGGACTCACCGTCCGCCTACCGGCCCTAAGAGTGATTGCAAGGCGCCTCGTCAAGCATCTCGTGATGGTGGGGCCGGATCTGGCGGACAATATTACGGATATTTGTCGGAGAGAGCCGTCGTCTACCCCAGTAGGACCGGTCTCGGTAAACGTGAAATGTCGTGCGGTGTTCCGCAGGGGTCGGTGTTAGGGCCACTCTTGTGGAACATTGGCTACGACTGGGTGCTTCGTGGTGCCTTCTTGGATGGTGTCGCCGTCGTGTGTTACGCGGACGACACGCTCGTGACGGCGCGCGGCAAGACGCACCACGAGGCAACCCTGAGGGCCACGGCCGGGATTGCCCGAGTCGTTGAGCGTATCCGGCGGCTGGGTCTCGAGGTGGCTCTGCACAAGTCCGAGGCCCTGTTCTTCCACGGGCTTCGGAGGAAGCCGCCTGAGGGATCTAGCCTCACGGTAGGAGGCACTCGCATCGGCATCGAGCCCTCGATCAGGTATCTGGAGCTCGTACTCGATGGCCGATGGGACTTCGGATATCATTTCCGAGGTCTGGTCCCCAAGTTGGTTGGGGCAGCGCGTTTGCGTTGGCGCGGCTGCTGCCCAACATGAAGGGATCCGATGACTCCTGAGACTCTACTCGGAGGTTGTGCGGTCCATGGCCCTTTACGGATGCCCAATATGGGCGGGGCCCTAAAAGCCAGCAACGTCGCGATACTGGGACGACCGCAGCGAGTGCTGGCCATCAGGATCATAAGGGGGTACCGCACGATCTCCTTTGAGGCGGCGAGTCTCCTGGCCGGAACTTCACCGTGGGATCTGGAGGCGAGAGCCCTTGCGGCTCTGTATCAGTGGCGCAAGGAGGCGCGGGAGTTGGGTCGGTGTCCCGAGATTCGAGAAATCGATGACTGGAAATCCCAACTCCGCAAGGTCATCATAAGGGAGTGGAGGGAACGACTCTGGCAACCGGGTACGCCGTCATCGCGGCGGTAAGACCCGTTATGGAGGATTGGCTCGAGAGGCGTCACGGGACCCTCTCATACCGACTGACGCAGGTGATCATGGGAAAGGATGTTTCGGGGATCACCTGTGTCTGATCCGCAAGGAGCGAACGCCTGAGTGCCACCACTGCGATGGCCAGACCGTGGACACGGCTCTCCACACGCTGGCAGTATGCCCGGCGTGGTTTGAGCAGAGGCGAGACCTCGTGGCGGCCATCGGAGTGAGAGTTCTCTCGCTCGATAGCCTAATTGCGGCTATCGTGCGGAGCGAGAGTGCGTGAAACTCTGCCGTCTCCTTCTGCGTGCAAGTTATGCTCGCGAAGGAGACGGCGGAGCGGGACTGGGAGAGGTTTAGGACTCTCCCGGCCCACCAGGCCCGGGAACGGGCCAGGTACCGCAGGCGACTCAGGCGCCGGAGGTCGCAGAACGACCTCCGTCCACCATAAGCGCAGGCCTGGGGGTGACAGGTGAGGCCATCTGTCACCCTAGCAGAAGCAGGCCGGGGTGGCGGCGAGCGCGTTGCGAAGCGCGCTCGCTTCCAGGGAGCAGAGGGAACATGGGGTTCCCACACGGGGGGGACTTCCTTTCTAGGGTATACCTGGTTCCCCGGCTATTAGTACCCGAGACGGCGTGCGGTTATAGTCGGTTCGAGTCCGACATGCCACCGATAGGTGGTATACTAGGGGATTTCCGCACGAAAAAAAAAAAATTAGTCGTTTGATTCTGATACACCGCCCCACCGCGAACCCCGGTGGGGTGACCAGCTCCCTTTCCACCGAGTATGGGGGGTAGCGGCCCTACAGAAGCTCAATTTACCATCTTTTCGGAGCCGGCGACAGCCATAGGCAGTCCTGGGGCTGCTTCGCGACCCTCGGACCACCGACTCCGGTGTGTCGGAATCGGACCGACAAAAACACGGTGTGACACGGTGTGCCACTCTGCGCATGTGATAGGAGGAATCCGGGAATGGCTGTTATTAAGACATCCGGACCCTCTATTTAGGCGACGTTCGGCACACGCGGCCGTCGCCTCCTCGCAGCAGGGCGTTATGGCGGGTGGAGGCGAAAACTCACGAGGCGCTAGTAAGCCGCCCGGTTTGCCAGTAGCTGGGGAACCAGTATACCCTAGAAAGGAAAGCCCTGATACCGAGATGGACCTCAGGCCATCTACGGCTTATAGATGATCCCTCCT